TATGTACGCTGACGATTTAAAAGTTTTTTCATACCTGTTGCTACGAATTTGGATTCTTTACAGATTCAAAATTATCTTGACAATTTATTCTCCTATTGCACCCGTAATTGCTTGTGTCTTAATCTTAAGAAATGTCACTACATCACTTTTTCTAGAAACAAAAATATTTTACTTAATAATTATAGCATTGATAATACACCTCTCGATAAAGTATCTGTTGTAAAAGATCTTAGCATTTTTTATGACAGTAAACTAATATTTGACCATCATATTAATCACGTCATTATTAAAGCACATAAGGCACTTGGTTTCATTATACGAACGTCTAAAGACTTCAAAAAAATCGAAACAGTCCGTACACTTTTTATGTCTTACGTTAACAGCGTGTTAAGTTTTGGATCAGTTATTTGGAATTCTCAGTATAACATAATATCTTAATAAAAAATTCTATTCGCATCAGGTCAATAATCGATCTCTTATTAAGCAAAATTTACGATTAATATCACTAGAAGATAGAAGACAAATGTATGATGAAAAAAATTCTATAATAATTTGATTGACTCTACTACAGTCGTAAACATGAATTTATTTAATGTCCCAACCCACAATACTAGAAAACAAATACTATTTTATTTAAGATCAAGCACAACTAATTATCATATAAATTCCCCTACAGCTAGGTGCTGTAAATCATATAACTCATTATCAAACCTTTTAAATCTCGATATTTTTTCTTGTTCTTGTCATCGTTTACTAAGACTTTAAACAAATTCTTTTTAGACCATACAATTTAAATACGTTTGTTCTATTATTATTAATTTTGAAATAAATTAATTGAAATATTTGTATCTAATGTTAAGCTAATAGTGAATACTGTTCCTGGGTTCGTCCCGTTTTGTATTCTTTATTAAAATAAATAAATAACCGATTGAGAACAGCTTTCAGTACTATCGATCAAAAATCCTGTAGCGCCTAAACCTTGATAGATAAGCTTAAAAACCAGTATTCTAAGGAAACTCACCACTTAATTTTTCTCTGAGTTAGAATATTAATTTTAAAGCCTTCAATTCGATGGATCCAAAAATTAGCCTTTTAATTCAAAATAAAAATGATAACCGTAATTTGGCATCTTTACGCTAACCCCTTCAACGTTTAATACCAGGGTAGCTAAATGTAATCGGCGCACATAACTGGCGCCCAACGTGGGGCTTTAACTTTACAGGAAATCAGAGAAAACCAAAATTAATATTGAACACTAGTATAGTTCCCCTAGACCTGGAACCTAATTTGGATTATAGGGTTACTCCTAAAAATAAACTTCCTGTTTAGGAATAATGGATCTCAATTCTGATTTAAATGTAACTAATCTAATCATATGGTTAAACATTTTACAATAGAATATGACCATTTTGTATTATTTAGAATATTATTTATTTTATTATAGTTCATTAAAATTAATTATTAAGATCTTACTAAGGTCTATCATGAACTGATGATGGGGAAGGGGCTTTTCATTTTTGTACTCATTATAACAGTATTGAAACAAGCGTTGATACTGTCTCTGTTGACTATTCGAAAAACAAAATTACAATACATAATTAATAGAACAAACGACTTACCTGTAAGGAAATAAGTTCTAAATTATATGAATATACGAAATATAATTGAAATAACGTATTTAATAAAGTAATATCGAGCAAATTATTAAACCTACAGCGACATTATAACTAATCATGAAGGTACTAGAAACGATACGACTGAGAACTTCGAAGAAGTACCAGAATTCGTGCAAAATTTTACGACATATTGTTCTAGGGTTAAATACTATCCTGTACTATTTTTGTTCGGATTATTTAACGTCTACCTTCTGAGGGTGTTTCCATGGAAGTAATTATTGTAACACTAAGTGATAACGAAATATTATATGGAAACGGAAGCGAAAAACCTTATCAAACCTACGTAATGTACATAATCATGTGGAATTTTAGCATTTTTCTATGATACAGTGAGTAGAGAGCAGTGAGTGCATCTCGATAAAAGTTCGCCCCATAGGCCATAACTTTGATTCCGTATGCGCTCAGCTATCTTTACGGCAATGGCATCAAAAATTAAAACGCAACAAACAGTTTGGCGGAAACGCTTCGCACCGACATCGACACGGGACACGGGCACTAACAGCAGCACCAGCTTTAAATAATAAGGGCATTAATCCTGGTTAGCAAAGAGTAGGCATTCTGTGGCCCATAACTAACATAGCGATACCATCGGTTTGTGCTAGGGATGGGCAAAACTGCTATTTTTAAATAACAGTTATAACAGTAACTGCTTTTTCTAAAAAGCAGCTTTCAAATAGCTGCTTTTTAATAGCAGTTTATTAAATCATCGCAACATGTAGTTCGACTACTCTGCTTAAGTGTTTACCGGTATTTCATTATTTACTAGTCGATCGGTGATCGCGTTCAAATCTGTTAAGCTGTCTAATAATGTCGAGTTAAATATCAACCTGTGCCGGTGGTTCCCCAAATTGTCAGAATAAATCGACGACAACGGGAATGGTAACAATTAAAAAATTAGTCTTTGTATGCCATCACGTCCTCTCTGAGGTAAGTTTTGTGTTGTGAGTTATTTTCTTAAAACAAATTTATTTGCTGAAAATATTTGTAAGAGGGCACAGCATTTTTGGTCTAACCATAACTGTTATTGTACAGAAAAACATAAACATCCGTAGTGCACGTATAAAATACGACATTCGCATCAGCAACTTGCCATTGTCATCGTCGCATCACGCGCACCATGCACTCACAACATAGTCACAAAGATCGGCGTATCTCAAATCGAAATATTAGTGAAAATGGTAAACTGCTATTTAAGAAGCAGCGATTTGTAATAGCCGATAGCAGTTGAAAGCTGCTTAGTTCAAATAACAGTTGTCAAATAGCAGTTTACTAAAAAGCAACCCATCTCTAGTTTGTGCACAGTGCACAAGCTTGTGTTGCTTTGCTACAACGCCAGACCCGTTACGATGCTTCGAACAACTGAACATCGCGCACAGTTGCCAACATTCGAAATAAAAAATGTATTCCAGATCGCCCGCTATATTTTTTTTTAGGGATTTATTTCGCGACGGTAACGCACCGTATTTAAATTAGGCGGAGCCGTTTGGATTTAACGTTCGATTTCGTTATTTAGTATAGATGGGCTTTTTATGCTGAGACAATACCGAGAAGATACCGGGGTTGTTCGAAATTTATCATATCAGTCTTCATACCTCTTTTGAGTTATAAGATATCCTAGCTGTCAATTACATAAATAGCCAAATAGTGCAAACACTAAATCAGAAATTCAAGTATTAACAGCGTTTGACTTCCTGAATTCGCTGCCACCATCAGAATTTAATTTTATTGTTGGGGTATTTTATCTTAGATTTTTGTATAAAAAAGGCTATTTCAAAGATAGCTGTGTTAGTTTTCGCAAGATTCACTAAACACATTGATCTATTGATTCGACATTTTCTTAGCACATAATATGCAGCTTAGAACACAGTTTAACACTGTCTTACATCAACTTATAATCCCATTTTTACATGTTTCATTCAAATCGGTTAAAAAAATAACGAAGTTATTCATTCCGCAAGTTAGAGAAGTACTGATCTGATGATTTTCCTGCCGCAAATAAGTTAAAAAGATTATATGCCGACAACAGCATATGCCGCCGCAGTCAAGGTGTTAAGCATCTATACTCATTTCTATATTATTATTGATATGAACAGCTAAACATTATATTAAACACATATTCAATTTATCCTTTTTTTAATTCATACAATAATTATATGTAACTATCGGATATTAAATATTACAATGAGGAATTTACAACTTTTACTGACTATGCTCTCAATGTAGTAAGTCAAAATCTCGAAATGGTCTTTACCTACAATATTTATTAATATAGCAATAATATTAATATAGCATCATGTATTATGTTCTATATATTCCAGTATATTGAAATATTACTCACATTTCTAATTGAACAACACTGATGAATATCCCTGTACCTATGAGAATAAAATACAAACAAAATCTTGGAGGATATTCTTTTCATGCAGTAATAGCTAAATACTTGTAGTTACGCGATATTACAGTAATAATAAGTAAAAAAATATACAAATATCTTCTTTATAAAAAATACATCATTTTACCGTTAAAAATTAAGACTTACACATTTAGAAAATGCATATGAGTCCCATAATTACTTCAATATACATTATGTTTAACAACTCACCCAGCAGAATAAAGATGAGACGCTTAATTATAGTTAGACGTGAGAAAAATAAAGGGAGTAGCTCTGGCCTCACCTATATCTGTCTGCCATAATTGGACGCATGGTTACAACTCTACCGGTAGTGGAATAGCAAGCATGCTCTATTTTTGTCTATTCAATAGCATTGGTTTTCTATACCGTTTTCCGGAGAGATTTGAAAAGTTAACATATTGTATGAATAAGTGGAAGAAATAAACAATTTAAACATTAAGCAATCTTCTGGAAACATTACAGAGGAAATTCTAAGAATATAAGGATAATGTAGTTAGAAAGGTGGAAAAGAAAATAGTACGTAGAATCTTCAGGATTGAGTTTTGTAGTAACATATATTTTTAGATCTCTAAGGCTTGTATGGTAATGATGATGAGGTAACAGAAAAATTGGTAGCAATGGAGGGAAATGGAAGAAATAGAAAGGAAGACACTAGAAGAATAAATTAAAGGATCGAAAGTCAGAGGTTCCTCCTTCTCTGGTACTGTCAGAAGGTTAAAAATTCCTTAAGGGCCTGATGAAGATCAATATAAATGAGTAATAATGATGATAAATCTTTAACGGTTTAAAAAATATAATTTTTTAAAAGAAATGAACCAAATCAAATAATTCAATTATTATTAGTGTATTGATTCTGGTAGCAACTAATTTAATACTAAAGAAATATCTTTGAGTGAATCACTCATTCTCACCTCTGAGTTGTTTCATATGAGCAACCGCCATCCTGAGGATCGTCAATTTGTCGGGCTTCCTGGCTAAGGCGCTGCACGTGGGCACCATGTCAGACAGCTCGGTGATGTATGCCGTCATCTTGTTCCGTCTCCTCCTCTCAATTTCGCAATGGTTCTCCCTACGGTAAGTCGCAAGAAAGGCATCGGTCATTACATCATTTATCTATGTGTTTTATGCTTATACTAAATATATTTGGAAAGAAATATCTCCGATACTCTTTACAGTTACAAGGAATCAGTTACAGGCATTCATTGGTAAAAAACAAAAAGTAGCAGAAACGTTTCAAGATCAACGTCACTATACAGCCGGAGAAGGGATAGATTATTTTAAATTGAATTTAAAAAAATATAGGGTATTGGGGGTTATGATTGACAACTTGTGTTATTTTTAACAGGTCTGTTATTTTATAAACACACAGAAATAACAACCTGTTCACAAATAACGTGTCTGTTAAAAATAACATTACTTGTCCATCATAACCCCGTTAATTGCTAAACATCAGGCCAACCATGGTTGGTTCTGGCTTTACGCAGACGTCAAAATTACAACAAACTACGTACCAAACAAAGGCAACCCTAGTTACTTTTAATGAGGAGGCTGTCACTTATCCACCTTTCCAGTTATTTGAAAATTTCGCATTACTCATGCGAGGGAAAAGCGCAGGACTTTTGAATCTAGTAATTTTTCATACAATTTATTTTCTATCTCTCCTACCTGCTTAGTTACTTTAAGCAAGTGTATGTATAGTAGGGAACAAGTGACACCTTTTTGATACACATTTGCACAAGATATTTTCTAAACATGTTTTTTTAAGATGTCGTCGTCGTCGAGGGCTCCATCGCTACAGGGACCAGTATTTCCCTGTTCTACAAGGTAAGAATGAACGACATATAAAAGTTAAAAATGACATTTTGGATGTTTAATTGGAACTCAGGGTAGGAAACAACAACAAATTTTGATTTTAATAGGAAGTAGGATTTGCGCATGAGTAATAGAGATCATCAATAACGGGAAAGATCTATTGCGTCAAAATTGAAGCACCGTTCGCTAGGTAGCAGTTGAGCCACCGCAGAAAGTCTATTGCAGACAAAATTTTATTTTTCTATAATTTATTACGAGCAATTGGTTAACTAGTTACATTGAGCAGCAGATCCGTTGAAACACCTGCCATTTGAATTCATTATGAAAAGATCTGCAGCTCATTTTCGGCGCCTGAACTTTTGCCTAATGCTAATTACTTTTATTTTAACGCAATTGGTGTCAAATAAAAGTTGAAAGCCTTCTCTTTAACGACAACTAGGATTGCCTTGGTTTGTACTAGAAGTCTATAAGGTTTTCCGAATGGGCAGATATTTCAGCAGGGTTATTCAACTAAATTTATAGCCAGGCTACACATTTTGAATTGTAGCTTGTAGCTTTTTCATATTCTATTAAGTTTCTAGTATCCCTTGCAATCTAGATATGTTTACTTACAGTAAATTCTTATACGAGTACTAGAAGCAAAATCATTTTAGAATTAGATAATCAATTTAATTAATTAATTGTTAGTTATAGGTAGACTAACTATTTTTTTAGAATCGTGGAATCTGACTGGACTATAATTTATGATCTACATGTGTAATACACTAAACTTATAGCCTGTTTTATATTCCTTAATAGAATAACCCTGCAGGTAATTATGTAGTGTTTGAGTCGCATTATTAGCCGTTTCTAGATTTTGTGATCTTCAAAATATCTGGGGTAATTACTTAAAACACCAAAATTGATTCATGATTCAGAATATGAACGTGGAACAACTACTATAGGTTTTTGGCTAAATAAGAAGTCATACACAAAAAAAAGTTTTTAAATTAGGTCTTGAAAAAATTCACATGTGTCGAACGTAAAATTCTTCTGTTTAAGTGTCAGTTTAGATTTATTTCGGAGCCGCGCATAGTAAAAACTCATATCTTTGTCGGTAATGACCTACTTTAGAAATAGTTTTTGTGGGTCACTCTTTATAATAGCTATTTATAAAACCAGTTACGAAATGTCTTATTTTATGTAACGAGTGAATATTTGCGGGACGAGCAGAGCGAGGTCCCGCAAAATGAACGAGCTACATGAAACGGCTATTGTAAGGTCTTACATACAATATTTTTTCTAATTTTGACTAGATTATTTATAAAACTGTGTTTTGGTAAGAAATTACTGATATCTAGACAACCAATATTACTATTTCTTGTATTGTTAGTTGCATATGCATAATTTTATTGACAAATAGAACAATATTAATTATTTATTCTAAACGACTTGTATGTGTGTTTATACTAAAGCTATTTAATTTTCAAAAAAGTTGGTTATTTTGTCGTGTATTGTGTTTTAATTTAGAAAAGAAAATAAGGACCAAAAAAACATTATTACTAGGTTGTAAGTTTAACCAAATTCTATTTTTATAAGTCAACCTGTCCTTCTTTGATATAAACTTTCAATAATAATGTATATTATTGATTTTCAAACTATTTTCTTTTGGCAACCAGTGACATAATGAATTTTTCAAAACCAGTATCAAAATGTTCAACATTATGCAATTGATTGCGTAAAGCAGATCATTTTGACACTTGCTGCGATTACAAAAAATGTCATTTTTATGTCAAAATTAGAAAAATATAAAATCATTCTAAACTGCATGGTTCTTCACCAAAAATTTCTATCTTAGCACAGATAAAACAAAATCAAATCGACTTCATAACAAACAAAAACAAGAAATAAACAACGTTAACATGAATAAATAGAATAAAAATAGTATATTATGTACCAAGGGGCGAGGGCAACAATCACTCGAGGGATTAAAACGCACTTTAGTCTTTATTTTTTCTACCGCAGGGACTAAAACTTAGAAATTTACACAATAATTCTGTGAAAAGAAACACTCAATATTATTTCATAACTATTATTTAATCGATTACTTAATGATTATGAAAAGTTATTGGAAAAAAGGAAAAATTAAAAAAAAAACCTGTCGGGGGTTCGAACTGAGTCCTCTACTTACAAGGCAGGCATTATACGTAAATCAAGTAGGTATACATACACTAAATGTCAAATTGAAATTTATTATTTTGACGTTTTATTGTAATCAATTGTGTTTTTAATAATTGTACTATTAATAAATAAAAATATAAGCAAAGTTTCAAACAAAACTATTTTCGGGAAAATTGATAAATTTATTTGCTTATAAAAGAGGTCTTGTTATATTACCTCCAGATTAAAGTAGTTTGCTATGCTTTCTATTGGTTTTGTTATTTGCGGGACTAAAATATTTTAATCCCAAGGGAGTAAAAATGGCACTTCAGTATCTAAAATGAGGGAGTAAAGTGCATGTTTTAGTTCCTGAGGTACAAAAAACATATTACTAGCTCGACAATTTTAAATATTTTGTTTTCTTTTTTAGTTTTTACACAATGTATTATATATATTTTATTCTATATTGTATACATTTATTAAACTAAAGACCTTTTATTATTATGAATGATCAAAATGGAAACGGAAAATGTTTCCTAGTGTTAATTAAGTTCCTCAGTAACTTTTTTAAAAATTAAAAATTTAAAGTTTCTGCTAATAAAAGTACAATGTACGCATCAGGTTAGAAGGTATGCATGTTGTTTACCGGGTGGCCCAATAATAATGGCTTTAGGCCGTTCATAGTACAACTTCTGAGGGAAAATTTCAATTATTACATGGTGACAACAAAAATCTGAAAATTATTTAGAGAATACTAGGACGATCGCTAGATGGCGTAACTGACTACCAAATAGTGAAATTCTTATTTTATACAAAACTAGCGACGCACGATGTTATCTTCTAAATTATTCATAGACAATTTTAATCTATAATAAATGCACAATATATGCATCTGAATAAGGATTAATAATGAATTGGAGAAAATAGCTTCGAAAATAACCTATCCTTTTTTACTAACCTGTAATAGATAAGAATAGGAGGTAAACACAAGTTATCGCAGGCTTATCTCGAGACCTTTTTTAGACCTACAAATTGTTTTAATGTATCTATACACAAACCTTTCTCGTCTATCGCTCTATCTAGTAGTAAAAACCGTATCAAAATAAATGAATTGAAGTGGGGTAGAATGCCTGTCAATAGGATTGAGATGCGACTCTATCGGCGCAGCCATTTTTTTCATCTCACTCCGGAGTAATTATAATAACTATTTTCTATTTCACTCTAAACAATCCTGTTCCACCAGATTGTGGACCAGACAACAATGTGAGACAAAAAATGGTTATTGTAAATACTCCCGAGTGAGATGAACAATAAAAATGGCTGCGCCTATAGAGTCGCACCTAGTCCTATTGACATTCTACCCCATTCATCAATCAAAATTCGTTGCGTGGTTTAGAAAAAGTAAGCGGAGAAACAGGCAAAGGTAAATAGCGATTTTGTTTTATATTTTTAGAGATTTGCCAAGTTAAGGCCTTCCAAAAATATATTGGGAATTTTCAAAAAATTCTGCATATTTTTGCCTAGAATAATTTTCTTCTATCTTATCATATAAGACGTGAGACGTGGAAACCGTGATTTGAACAAACGCTTGTAAGTCCGGTTCTGCTTAACTAAATTTTGCAAACTTAATCTTGTTGAAAACAGCTCTTCACCACCAATGTAATATTTGTAAATTCGAAACAATCTAATTCTAATAAGTAACGTGCATGCTAGATGGCGCTGTTTAACTTTTTTAAAAAATCTAGTTTTCTCTCGGAAATAGATGGAAATATGCAATTTTTACCACGGATAAAAATAGTGGACTAAATTATCGACAAATCCGCAAAAAACGGCTATTGATATCTTTTTTTCTATCTTAAGAATCGTGTAAATGTTATACAGTACATTTGGATTCATATGGAAAACTTTTTTATTATTAATTTTAGGAAAAAAAGTTATTCTTCATAAAAAGTTCTGCATTATCTAAAACCTAGAATACAGTCATCAGATATCAAATTTTTCAAGCCGTATACGAGGTTTTTCAAAAAATATGAATTTTGCTCAATAGTAAAGTACGTTTATTTTTGACAAAATCGAAAATTTTCATTAAGAAAAGTTGATTAGAATTGAAAATTACAT